TCTTCTTCACGAGGGGCTTCTGCGGCATCTTCTTCACCTTGGGCTTCTTTGGCATGGGCTTCTGCAGAGGAACTTTGGCGGGTCCTGGGGTCTCGATCTCGCCCGGCTTCAACACCACCTGGGACTCGGTCTCCGTGGGCACCAGAAGGATCGCGCCCTCGGTCTCCGTGGACGTAGCTGTGGCCAACCGGGTGCTCTCCTCGAAGTCCTCTTCTCCTACCGAGATTGAGGCCGCTTGAGTCGCAACGACTCTCCGGACCAGCTTCCCTTTGTCCTTCCCTTCCATGCGCCACTCCACTTCGCTCTCGCTGGAGGAGGCCATCTTCTCGGGCTGCGGAAGGTCTCGAACTTGCGGGGTCTGCAATCTGCTGCGCTGCACTCTGCTCTTGAGACACCAAACAGGCCCGTGCCACCGCATGACTCTGCAACCAGCAACAGTTGTTGGACCACACAGCCTTAAATTGAAAACCACCAGCTTGCACGTGGAGATGGGGGGCAAAAGAAACTGTCCAATTCCTATTCAGGAGTCGTCCTAGGCTCAGGAGGTTAAATCGCACAGGTGCAACCAGGGCTTCAAACTCAACAACGATAGGACTGGATCTCTCAACGGCAAAGCAAACGCGAACCACAGCACTCTTCTGAACCCCTCAGAACTGCTACCATGTGTCACATGCGGGGCTGCCATGCTCATGTCATGAAAATAAAATTCACTCAATCCATGCTCACCAAAGCGGGGCCTTCTCAAGCTCAACGGGGGTCTCTAGGCTTCCAAGCTGCGACGTTCCAAGCTCAACTGGGGCCTTCTCAAGCTCAACGGGGGTCTCTAGGCGGGCAAGCTTGCGTGGAAGCATATGAATCTGAATCATCCCTAAAACAAAACATGGGGTTCTCGGCTTAGCCCCGCGCCACGTCACTGCTATGAACTCCCTTGAGACTCAAGTATGAACACAAAAAACAAAAGAAGATGCGAACTTTTCCCGTGGGCTTGACATTTTGAAGCAAGTTGAGCGTGAACAGCTTGGTGTTCCGGCAGGCTATGAGACGTTGAGGCGTCAGGATCTGTCGGTTTTGCTCGAGGATAGAAGCCTCGACTTTGCGAGAAGAGATGTTGAGATACCAACCCCCTGCCTCTGCGAAAGATCGTCCTTTGGAAGTGTTCCGCAGCGTGCAGGTTGAGCTTGCAAAGTATGGTCAACTTGTTGCTGCGTTCCCGGATCTTGCGTTGAGTGAGCGGATCAGAGCATGATTGTGTTGAAGGGTCTTGATGCAGATGTGAAGAGATACATTTTGTTGCATGCAAAGATTGACTCCATGAGTGAGCTTGAAACTGCGATCAAGTTCTACGATGCAAACATCAACATTCTTACCTTCGCTGATTCCGGGCGAGGTCGAGACCGCAGGAACAACAACGACATAGCGAATCCGCTGAACTTCAAGGGCGATGGAAAGGGGAAGGACAAGGGGAAGGACAAGGGGAAAGACAAAGGAAAGGACAAAGGAAAGAACAAGGGAAAGGACAAAGGTCGGGAAAGGACAAGCATGACAAGAAGGGAGAGAAAGGCGGAAAAGGGGAACGTCACTCAAGACCCTGGAAAAGGGGGCGGTGGTAGCTCTAGTGATCCAAAGCACGACAAGCGTGCCAACGTGAAGTGCTACAACTGCAATGAATTGGGGCACTCTTCTAATCGATGCCCTAAGAAAGCGGCCAAGGGTGTGGGGCAGCAGCGACGCTTCTTGAACCGCAATTGGCGGCTTTGACTTTGGAGGGCCCGCATGTGTTTGCAGCGGCACTTGGTGCGAGTTCTTTTATTGGGGGGGGCGCAGCCCCCCCCCATTTGCATAGCAGTGACGTGGGCGCGGGGCTAAGCCGAGAACCCCATGTTTTGTTTTGTTTTGTTTTGTTTTGGACATGATTCCTATGCTTCCACGCGAGTTTGCCCGGCTTAAACAAGCAGGGGGGGGTTGGGGGGGGCGCAGCCCCCCCCATTTGCAAACACGATGCTCACATTAGGCCTCTTGAACTGCTGCCTAAATCCTCCACCGAAGGCCCAGCAGGTATTAAGCCTCTTAGACGTCTTAAACTGCTGCCCGAACCCATTACGCCTTTTAAATTGCTGCCCAAACCCTCTACAAAAGGCCCAGCAAGTATCAGGCCTCTTAAACTGCTGCCTAAACCCTCCGCAAAAGGCCCAGCAAGTATTACGCCTTTTAAACTGCTGCCCAAACCCTCCAAAAAAGGCCCAGCAAATATTAGGCCTCTTAAACTGCTGCCTAAACCCTCCGCAGAAGGCCCAGCAAGTATTACGCCTCTTAACTTGCTGCCCAAAGGCCCAGCAAGTATTAGGCCTCTTAAACTGCTGCCTAAACCCTCCACAGAGGGGGGGGCTTGGTTGCGGCTTCAGGGGGGAACTTTAGGGGGGGCTTTAAGGGGGCTTAAAAAAAGGGGCTTAAAGGGGGAGCTTTAAGCCCCTTAAAACGGGGGGGCCTTCAAGGGGGCTCTAAGGGGGCTTTTTAAAGGGGGGCTTAAAGGGGGGCTTAAAGGGGGGTTTTAAAGGGGGGCTTAAAGGGGGCTTAAAGGGGGGCTTAAAGGGGGGCTTAAAGGGGAGCTTAAAGGGGGGGTTGAAGGGGGCTTTAAGGGGGGGCTTAAGGGGGGGGCTTAAGGGGGGGGCTTAAAGGGGGGGCTTAAGGGGGGGCTTAAGGGGGGGCTTAAGGGGGGGCTTAAGGGGGGGCTTAAGGGGGGCTTAAGGGGGGGCTTAAGGGCTTTCACCCTTTCCCCCCCCCCCCCGAAGGGACCCCCTTTGCAGGGACCCCTTTGAAGGGGGGCTTAAGGGGGGCTTAAAGGGGGGCTTAAAGGGGGGCTTAAGCCCCCCTTTGCCCAAAGGGGGGGGGCCCATCCTCCAGCACAGTCACCTGAATTAGCCCTGGAATGAACACTAAGGCCTGCAGCGGAGCCTGGAAGAAAGCACATTTTCCAAGTGATCCTCCAGCAGGTTGGCAAAATATGTCCGGTTCTGACGGAATGCACACGGCACTGGGGAGGAGTTCAGACCATTGGCTGTTCTGTCTGCATGGAAAGTAATGCCAGAACGCCCTTGTTGCTCAAGTGCCGTGTTAGCTGACTGATAGAGGTGATAAGTTGGTCTGATGGGCTGAGGCCACGTCCTTTATTTTGCTCCTTCGCGAGTCTGGCTTTTGTGGTGTTGATTTACTTGCGGAGAAATTTGGAAGGCAGCCGCCTCAATGCCCGTAAGTCTGTTGTTTGAAACCGAATTTTGATTAAATGATGTCCTCCAGTAACCTTCTTGTGTTTCCAAGAATCAACGCAGACTTTGGATGAAGCATAAAGGTGTTGGTAATGATCCAAATGATTGAGACTTGTGCTAAGAGGTGGGTGTACTATCCCTCTTTATGTTGGTTGAGCAGGGAAGAGCCTCCCCCATTGATCAGGGTGCCAGTAGACCGAAAGGAACCAGTAGCAAACAGTCCTAAATTGGACCAAGGCAGCAAGAGCAAAGCCCGGGACGAGGTCAATAGATTCGACCAATTTGTAATGCTGGGGTCAGCAGACTCCTCCTGAATGTCCAGATTCCAATACCGCAAGGGAGGCAACAGTGTTTACTCTTGACGTTGCCTGGCGGAATCTTTGCAAGCAAGCTGCATTCCACTTAGTCTCCTGAAGAAGTACAGGAGTTTGATGAGCCAAAAAGCTCCAATTGTCCTAAGTTTGGCAAGGCCAATGGTGTCAAAGGTACACAGTGAGGTAACATTCCAACTGACGACAGCTTGAAGCTTGCACGGCTGTTTTGGGCGTGAGTCAAAGTAAGGAATGAGCTTATCGGCGAGAAGGTTTAAAGCAAGTTGTAGCTCATTATGAGACAACTGAAGATTAGCCGCTGCAATGAGATCAAAGGGTTTCTCATTTGAAGCCCCAAGGGCTGACTTCAGCTCTCGGCTAGGTGGGCGTCAAGGGAATTGCAAAAGAGCGGACAAGAAGCGATAAAGGAAGTGTGAAACGAAACACACGAGCAGGCATAGACGCAGTAAGAGATAGTGCTTGCTTGTTCCGACGGAGCATGTTCCCAAGCGCCTTGTCGAGGACTAGCGTGCGTAAAGCAGCATCAGAGATCTTCCCTTGCAAGGTCCACTCAATTTCTGTAATTGGTGACCCAATATCCCATTCAGATTTAGCAATGCGACCCCTTAAGACGAAGCCCAACATTGTCGCGGTTTCAGCTAAAACTTTGGGCTCCCAAGGTGTATCGTCCAGGAGCATGATATCGCGCTGTTTTAGCGCTTTGTTCGTAAGTATGGAGGTTTTGCACTTGCGCCGACAATCAGCTGTCATGATACACGCAAGGAAGGTTTGGAAGGCCTGTGCCTCCGAGTAGACGCACTGGATACACGGGTGAGGACGAAGCTGCTGCCCCCACTAGCGATGATTAGACAGCATTTAGTTCCTAGCCTTCCAAGCAAGATGACGATGGCCTGTGTCATTTCCCGAGAATCGTTGCGTAAGAAAGCATTGACCGCCTGCCTTAGGGAGGGGAAGCCACCTAACAGGGAGCTGCAGGTGTTCGAGCGAGAGTACAAAGGAATCTTGGCACCGTGGGGAACTTGTGGTTGCGAAGCCTTTGCCAATGGTCAAAGACAAAGAGAAAGGTGAAAGTTGGACAAAAGGAGTGTTTGTTGGAAAAGACTTCGTGAGTAATCTGAACTTGATAAGCACGAAGAAAGGAATCGTCAAGGCCCGAACGATAAAACGGTGTACCCCGTCGATAGACATTGAAGCATTGGTAGAAGCAACAGGGACACCTTGGAATGGAAGGCAACAGCACTTGGTATCGCCAAAGCCAACAAAGAGAATCCCACCGACAAGAGGAATTGAAGTGATTGGAAATGGCCCTCTGTCGCTCCCAGTTCCGGAGCAGAGGCGTCCAAGCCAAGTGTTGGGAAGTGACAGGCCAACAGAAGAAGAAACTCCGACACAAATCGAAGGTGGAATGGACGAAGATGGCGGAGATGATGATGGAGAAGATCCTGGTGAAAGGAAGAGACCTCGATCAACACAAAACTCACTGAGCTATGAACCATCAAGTGATGAAGGTGAATCGCCCAGGTTGAAAAGAGATGTGACTGAAGCAGAGTTGCAAGAGCCCGAGCAAGAAAGCAACAGACCGAGGATTGATGAGGGCGACGGAGAAGTTGAAGAAAATCCGCACAAGTACCCAGCAACTGCCGTGAGATGGGCAGATGAGCAGCAAAGTTTCGGAACCACAAGGTCTTTAGCTGAAGGAGAAAAGTCGGAAGAGTACAAGGAGTATGTTCGAAGAATAATGATGATCCGAAGCGTAGAGGAAATGAATCCGTACTTGAAAAGCGAAGTTCCAGAGTATCACGACGATGAGGAAGTCGAGATGGAGGAATTGGAAGAAGTTGAGGCAAATGTTTATGAAGAAGAGGAAGGAATCCCAGAATGGGAAGATGATGAAGAACTGAATGAAAAGTTGCCAACATGGTCAAACGATTTCGAAGATGGACCACCGAAGCTTACAGATGAAGAGTTGGAAAATGTCGACAATGAGTCACGAGCATTCGAGATCGAACGATTGGAAGAAATGGGGGTGTTAATAAGATTGCACCCAGACGCAGATAAGTCCAAGTACAAGTTCTTGTCGACAAAGGTAGTGTACGACTGGAGACATCGAGAAGGAGAATGGCAAAGGAGAGGAAGACTAGTTGCAAGAGAGTACAAGTGGCTAACAAGCTACGATTTGGCGAGTTTGTTTTCGCCAACAAGAGTATCAAGCACGATAAAGATGCTTGTTCGTATCGACAGAAGGATACAGTCTTGGAAGAGTCTAAGGTGGAATTGGCAGGAGTGCTGAGTGTGAAGTGTTTCTACGAGGATGTAGAAAAGGGATTGAAAAGCTGGAAGAGGCGCGAGTTGAGAACCCCGCAGCGCTGACACCAATGCCAGCGACAGCACCAACGACGCCTATGGAACTCGAGACAGGAAAAGAAGATGAAAGACGAGTTGCGAAGATGAAGCTCCTCGAAGAGATGCCTCGAGTGAAAAGGAAACAAGAGAAAAGTTGGAAAAGGAGGAGATTAAGAGAAAGGCAGCTGAGTTTGGAGCTCAGTTGGGAGAAAGATTGAAAAAGGAGAAGGCGATGGCTGAAAAGAGGAGTGAGCCAAAGGTGAAGGCAATGCCTAAAGCTGTTCCAAAGGCTGTGCCAGATGTGTTGAAGAAGAAGAGACTGGAGAAAGATGGCAAAGAGAGCCAGCCAGAGGCGAAAAAGAAAAAGTGGACAAAAGCCGGTGAGCAAGGAAGTGAAGGGGGTAATGACCCCCTATCGCCGCTCGAAGCCGAGAGCGGAAAAGGAGAATGAGCAGCAGCTGGAGTCGGACATCTTGGAAATGTTGCAAAGCAGGAAGCAGATCTCGTACAACGTAAGCGCCTGCAACTTTTGCAACGAGATTGGACATAAGGCTGCCGCATGCTTGAGAATGGTGGATCGCGCCATCAAACAACAAGCTGGACTGTTTTACAGTCTCAGGTGGAGTAAGTTTTGCGTTTACTGCTTCAAGAAAGGCTTGGGAAAGAAAGGAAGAACGCATTCCATCCATTGTCCAAAAGTCATTGGCTTTGGGTGGACTGGCCTCGACGAGAAGGATTGTTGGCGTCGCAAAGAAGTGGAAAAGAAAGCTGAAGCTGAGAAGTCAAAGGAAGAAGGCGAAAGAGTGTCTAAGAGTCTTGAGCAGGAAGATGTCACGGAGGAAGTTGAAAAGGATGAAGTGACAGAATTCATCGAAGAAGCAAACGCAGAGGCAGAGAAAAAGAAAGAGGAGAAATAAAAGAGAGAACTTGGAAAGAAGTTGCAAAAGAAAAAGGAAGCCCTCGAAGTGAAAGAGAAAGCTGAGGGCGAGAGAAATCAGCGAGTTATCGAGGAGTTCAATGAAGAGCAAAAGAAAAGGAAAAGGGAAGAGGAGAAGAAGTCGCAAGAGATCTCCTGGAGCTTCCCTGAAAAGCGCAAGGAAAGAGAGGAGATGATGGAGAAGGCGAAGATCGCTAAAGAATCCATTGAGAAGAAGTGGAAGGCTGAGAAGAAGGAAAAGAAGAAAAAGGAGAAGAAGGATGAAAAGAAAAGAGCCAAGAAAGAAGAGAAGAAGAAGCACAAGGAAGAAGAAAAACGAGAAGGATGATTGAAAGCGCCTCAGAAGCAGGTGACAGGTTTCGGAGAATCGAAGATGTGAGGGCGCACGTTTGTGAAGAAGATTAAAAGCCAAAGGCAGAGGTGAGCGAAAATTCGGAAAAGGGTGTGAGGGCGAATGCCCAAACATCGCTAAGATTTGAAAAGCGAGATGGCAAAAGCGTAGCCAAATCGCAACTGAAGTGAGTGAGCTAGGAGTAGCAGCACAGAGCTATTTCTGTAGAGCGATAAATCTCACAACGATTCGCATTTTGCGAAGTTTCACCAACGCCCAATGTGTTTGAAAGCTTTGTGAAGTTGGTTTAAAGAAGTGCGAGAAGAGGATGAAGGCAAAGTGCCGAAGCTACGGAGCCGCTTGTTAGAAGAGCGAGCTGAAGGCAGAGCCTTACTAGGAAAATGTGTTTGAAAAGGAACCGAAGCACATTCCAAAGTGAAAGATGTTCGGTTGAGGGCGTAACAAGATGTACATTTTCACCACTGGGTTGCCGCTAGGCTCAAGGTAGGGACGAAGTCCTGAAGCCGTCGCCTACCGTGGAGAAAGAAAAGTGAGAAGTGTTTGTGTGGTTTAAGTGAAGGTTGTAATTTCGCTGTTAAACTTTTAAAACGGCTTGAAAGCTGTTGTTGTTGGCGAGCAGTGCCATGGAACTAGGTGCGGAACGAATATTCGCCTTCATCGTGCGCATGGGCCCCGGCAGCAGGAGAAACGATATTCGTGCTCAAGCAGCATAGCGGGGGCATCAGCAGCTTACAGCTTGCCTTTGCCGCGTTAGATGTTTAACTTAAAGTTTGCGTCGGATGTGGTAGAATACGGCAGGCTTTGCTTTGCAGTGGGTGAGGAGCCATTGTGGTTCAAATTTTACATATTTGTTTTCAAAAGTTTTTCCCATTTATACTACACATCCTCGTTTGTTCTTGGCAGCGCATCTTCTTGCACATCCTGTAGCGCTCGGTTTTCTCCCTTAATAGTTATGAACCACACATGTTGAGTGGGGGTTAGCGCTTGAGATGTCCGGCAAATGGGATAAGAGCTGAGAAGGCCGCGCATGCGTGCACGAGCGACACAGTAGCTGTCCTTCATTCCCTATGCTCAAGTGATCTGTCAGTTGCCATGGCAGCCAAAGCATTGTTAACTGCTCAGACCATATTCTGTTTCTTGTTCAAAGTTGTGTAAAGATGCTGGCCACCTGTTTCCTGTCAGAGGGAGAGCCATTCGGGCTCCCGAATACCGAAGGCATCCAAGGAACAGCATTGCAGCTTGCAGATTGCCATGGTCGCGTTAGGCGCCCCCAACGCGGTCTGCTGATTAGTGTGCCCTCCGCCCCCCCCCTCAGCAAATGGACTCCGCTCTTTAGTGTGGGGGGGGGGCAATTGGGGGGGGGGGGTCTGGCTTTATATGATTTTAAAAGGGATAAGTTTATATGAATTTAAAAGGGATCCATATGATCTTCAAAGGATGAGCTCGTATGAACTTACAAGGGATGCATATGATTGAAAAGGGGTGACACTGAAAATTAGGAGGGTTCCATACGATTTCAAGAGGGATGAGTTTCTCTGAGTTTAAAAGGGATTATATGATGTTAAAAGGGATCCACATGATTTTAAACGGGATGAGTTTATATGAATTTAAAAAGGATCCATTTATCCCAACCAAGCCAGGCCTCAAAAACAAATAGTTCCGAGGGAGCAAACTGTTTATATCATACGGCATTCGGGCAGCCGCTGGACTAATTACCCCCTTTGAGATTTGATTGCCCGGCCTCGGCACAAAAGAATTTAATGGGGAAATCTTAGTTTTGGGGCTGGCCTGGAGGCTGAAGCTTTCAGGGCCGACAACCTCAGGCCTCAAGGCTTCAGGCTTTGAACCTTTGACCTTTGGTCTTTCAGGTTCAGTTCAGAAGCGATTTCTGGACGACAACACCATTCGACAGCCTCGCCGAAATTTTGCATCGCCCGATGTTTGTTTCACAATTCCGGGGGTCCTCTTCAAATAGACCCCCCTGAATAATTTTCGGATTTTTTTTCACAATTCCGGGGGAACACACTAATCAGGATACAACATTAGCTTACTTTGTTCCTAGGCTACGGCAGAACTCGTGCAGAATGTGCTCTGCAGCCGATGAGGATCTTGGTTCTCTGTCGTCAGACTCTCTCAGTCGCGCCCTCAAGCTTATGATGCTTCATGGTTTCAAGGTATGTGAATTGCGGAAAAGTTCGGCCATGTTCAACCCTAACTGATCAGGTGAGAGCGCTGAGTTAGAACTGGTAGAACGGCTGTTTGCTTTGCGACCTGCCATGAAGCTGCTGGCGTTGGCGCTCACGGCTCTGGGAGTTCTCCAATTCGGAGGACAAGAAGGGACAAAGGCTCAAACGGTCGATCTTGTTCACGGAAAGGTTTTTTGCTCCGCTGTCGTAGCCGTGTTGCCATCTTTGCACCATCCCAGGCTCAGCGGACCTGTGAACCCTGGAACTGCGCAAGCCACATATTCACCATGCCCGGAGGCTTAGATCCACCTCACAGGCCCCAAACCTTGAGCTCAGTGCAGTGCTTCTAGCACAGGAGTGCACCGTATGTGCACGAATGTCTGGGATGCTATGTCGAATTCATGTCGTCAGAGGTTGAAGCCAACATCCCTCACGCAGGCTATCAAAGCTAAACCTAACTTGACCCCCCAACTTTGTCCACCTTTGCCTGTTGTGCTGAGCCCTAATCTCCTGATCATGCGAGCAGGAGCTTCCAACCTCGCAGTGGTCCGCGTGTTCTCGACCGAGGAGGAGCTGCAGCTGCTGTCTGGCAGTTTCCCTGCCTGGGATGCCACGATGCCGTGCGCGAGCAAGTCCAACACGAGCACGATCGATTTCATCCTGGTCTACAGCAAGGATCTGGAGACGGACCCTATGGCCAAGGGATTGGTCTCTTCCCTTACCAGCGATTTCGACCAAAAACAGTTCGCCTGGATGACTTGCTTCTCCACCATGAAGAACATGTCGGCCATGCTGAACCCAGAGCATGACGTGTACGACAACCGCGGCTACACCACCAACAAGCACTGGGTGTCTGGTCCCAATGCGGTCTTCTCAAAGATCATGACGGCCATGCTTGAGGGTGAGTTCATGGACATGTACGACACCTTCTTCCTCATGGAGATGGACGCGGTTCCCATCAAGAGCGGCTGGCTCGACCAGTTCGAGACGGAGGCTCTTGAGATGCCGGGTGGGAACATGGCCGTCCGCGGGAGTCAATATTTGGGTGACAAGTGGGACCTGTTCAAGTGGATGATGCCCACCTATTTGGTGGATCACATCAACGGCAAAGCCATGTACAATCTGAAGCACCCCTGGACGAAAGCTGTGTATGACGCGTTCCACAGCATGGGCGGCGGCAGCATGATGGAAGAGATGGCCTTCGATGTGGCTTTTGCCATGATCACAATGGATGCCATGTCTGGAAGCAGCAGCCAGTTTGCGGCTGCCTGGACGGCCGCAAATGGCAACAGCCAGACCTACAACTGGGATTCTATGCCAACACCCTTCTGAACACCAGCTTCGAGTTCCCAACCTACATCCGCCATGGTTCCAGCAAGAACCTCTTCGACACCGTGATGGATGACGAAGTGACCCTGGGAGTTGCGATGTTCGATACCCAGGGGCACTTGAAGGAGACCGTGCCCACGCACCACCCCTTCAAGAAGATCCTGGCCCTGACCTATTACCCGCAGCCGGACATGACCGAGACGATCGAGGGCCCGAACGGTAACGTGACCATGACGACAGCAACAGCCACGCGTGATGCCTATTTCCACCTCTGCGAGACAGCCTCTCTTGTAAACACGAAGTGGTTCGCCCTCACGGACAACTACCACATCATCAAGGCGCCCGTTAGCGTTCTGATGGAAACCAGCGACAAGCCCGTGTTGCCCTACGTGCTGAGGAACTCAAAGTACTGCGGTGAGCGTCCCAACTGCGAGGCTTCCATGGAGCAGGCAGAGACGCTGTTCAGCATCACGCTGAACTACCACCACGACAAGTACGAGGTGCTGTACAATACTGAGGATGCCAAAAAGTTCTGCAGGAAACCGCAACAAGCTCCCAATCATGGAGCGATTGCAGCCTGGCTTTTGGCCCAACCGGCGACGACTACATCGCTTGGAAGATCAGCGACCCGGATTACAACATCACCAACGAGTTCACTCCGAAGGACAAGACCCGCTACGGCTGGCGAGCGTGGACCAGCCTGTGGAACCCGGCCCCGGTCGACTCCCGCGACTGCAGCACAACCCTCTACGGCCCAAAGGAGTACCTGGAGACTCTCGGCAACATCTCCAAGTGCGCGGTTAGCTATGTCGAAAATGAGGCGGGCTGTGCTGGTGACACCTCCTGCCAATGGAAGCCCATGTTCGAGTCGGGCGTTTGTGTTCAGGACCCGAGGAGCGTTACCACTTCAACAACGGTTGCTGGAAGTGTATACAGCAGCATCGAAGTCTCCATGGAAATGACGGTGGAGGATCCGACCACGATCACCGAGAATGCCACCATGACAAATGCCATGATTGCCGGATTCGCAGAGGTGATGGAGGTGGATGAAGAAGACGTGACGTTGGAGTTCCAGACGGACCGACGCCTTAGCTCCCATGCAAGGAAGCTTCAGGTCACGCTGACGGCCATTTTCACTGTGACTATGCCCAGCCTTGAAGCAGCCATCGAAAAGCAAGTGGCAATTGAGACAGTCTCCTTGGCCAAAACGACCGAAGCCATCAGCACGGCTGTCGCCAACACTGGCTTCACGGGCGCCGTGGAGGTCACCGGCAAGTCGACCGTTCGCGTCGCTGCCCCGACGACCACGACCACAACGACGACGACAACGACGACAACGACGTGTTACGTGCTTTTAGCTTAATGTGTTCCTAGGCTACGGCAGAACTCCAGCAGAATGTACCCTGCAGCCCATGAGGGTCTTGGTTCTCTGTCGTCAGACTCTCTCAGTCGCGCCCTCAAGCTTGTGATGCTTCATGGTTCCAAGGTATGTGAACTGCGGAAGAGTTCGGCCATGTTCAACTGTTCAACCCTGACTGATCATGTGAGACTTCCACGGCAAACTGGTGACGAAAATTGCAGCACGCGTGCCTTCTCAAGCGCTGAGTTAGAACTGGCAGAACGGCTGTTTGCTTTGCGACCTGCCATGAAGCTGCTGACGTTGGCGCTCACGGCTCTGGGAGTTCTCCAATTGGGAGGATAAGAGGGGACAAAGGCTCTTTTGCTCACATATTCACCATGCCCGGAAGCCTAGATCCACCTCACAGGCCACAGACCTTGAGCTCAGTGCAGTGCTTCACAGAAGTGCACCGTATGTGCACGAAGGTCTGGGATGCCATGTCGAATTCATGTCGTCAGAGGTTGAAGCCAACGTCCCTCACGCGGGCAAAGCTAAACCTAACTTGACCCCCCAACTTTGTCCACCTTTGCCTGTTGTGCTGAGCCCTAATCTCCTGATCATGCGAGCAGGAGCTTCCAACCTCGCAGTGGTCCGCGTGTTCTCGACCGAGGAGGAGCTGCAGCTGCTGTCTGGCAGTTTCCCTGCCTGGGATGCCACGATGCCGTGCGCGAGCAAGTCCAACACGAGCATGATCGATCTCATCCTGGTCTACAGCAAGGATCTGGAGACCGACCCTATGGCCAAGGGATTGGTCTCTTCCCTTACCAGCGATTTCGACCAGAAACAGTTCGCTTGGATGAATTGCTTCTCCAGCATGAAGAACATGTCGGCCATGCTGAACCCAGAGCAGGACGTGTACGACAACCGCGGCTACACCACCAACAAGCACTGGGTGTCTGGTCCCAATGCGGTCTTCTCAAAGATCATGACGGCCATGCTTGAGGGTGAGTTCATGGACATGTACGACACCTTCTTCCTCATGGAGATGGACGCGGTTCCCATCAAGAGCGGCTGGCTCGACCAGTTCGAGACGGAGGCTCTTGAGATGCCGGGCGGGAACATGGCCGTCCGCGGGAGTCAATATTTGGGTGACAAGTGGGACCTGTTCAAGTGGATGATGCCCACCTATTTGGTGGATCACATCAACGGCAACGCCATGTACAATCTGAAGCACCCCTGGACGAAAGCTGTGTATGACGCGTTCCACAGCATGGGCGGCGGCAGCATGATGGAAGAGATGGCCTTCGATGTGGCTTTTGCCATGATCACAATGGATGCCATGTCTGGAAGCAGCAGCCAGTTTGCGGCTGCCTGGACGGCCGCAAATGGCAGCAGCCAGACCTACAACTGGGACTCTATGCTGGTTGGCAACTATGCCAACACCCTTCTGAACACCAGCTTCGAGTTCCCAACCTACATCCGCCATGGTTCCAGCAGGAACCTCTTCGACACCGTGATGGATGACGAAGTGACCCTGGGAGTTGCGATGTTCGATACCCAGGGGCACTTGAAGGAGACCGTGCCCACTCACCACCCCTTCAAGAAGATCCTGGCCCTGACCTATTACCCGCAGCCGGACATGACCGAGACGATCGAGGGCCCGAACGGTAACGTGACCATGACGACAGCAACAGCCACGCGTGATGCCTATTTCCACCTCTGCGAGACAGCCTCTCTTGTAAACACGAAGTGGTTCGCCCTCACGGACAACTACCACATCATCAAGGCGCCCGTTAGCGTTCTGATGGAAACCAGCGACAAGCCCGTGTTGCCCTACGTGCTGAGGAACTCAAAGTACTGCGGTGAGCGTCCCAACTGCGAGGCTTCCATGGAGCAGGCAGAGACGCTGTTCAGCATCACGCTGAACTACCACCACGACAAGTACGAGGTGCTGTACAATACTGAGGATGCCAAAAAGTTCTGCACGGCCTGGGAAACCGCAACAAGCTCCCAATCATGGAGCGATTGCAGCCTGGCTTTTGGCCCAACCGGCGACGACTACATCGCTTGGAAGATCAGCGACCCGGATTACAACATCACCAACGAGTTCACTCCGAAGGACAAGACCCGCTACGGCTGGCGAGCGTGGACCAGCCTGTGGAACCCGGCCCCGGTCGACTCCCGCGACTGCAGCACAACCCTCTACGGCCCAAAGGAGTACCTGGAGACTCTCGGCAACATCTCCAAGTGCGCGGTTAGCTATGTCGAAAATGAGGCGGGCTGTGCTGGTGACACCTCCTGCCAATGGAAGCCCATGTTCGAGTCGGGCGTTTGTGTTCAGGACCCGAGGAGCGTTACCACTTCAACAACGGTTGCTGGAAATGTATACAGCAGCATCGAAGTCTCCATGGAAATGACGGTGGAGGATCCGACCACGATCACCGAGAATGCCACCGTGACCAATGCCATGATTGCCGGATTCGCAGAGGTGATGGAGGTGGATGAAGAAGACGTGACGTTGGAGTTCCAGACGAACCGACGCCTTAGCTCCCATGCAAGGAAGCTTCAGGTCACGCTGACGGCCATTTTCACTGTGACTATGCCCAGCCTTGAAGCAGCCATCGAAAAGCAAGTGGCAATTGAGACAGTCTCCTTGGCCAAGACGACCGAAGCCATCAGCACGGCTGTCGCCAACACTGGCTTCACGGGCGCCGTGGAGGTCACCGGCAAGTCGACCGTTCGCGTCGCTGCCCCGACGACCACGACCACGACGACGACGACAACGACGACAACGACGACGGCGGACAACATGACCGGCGACGATGGCGACGATGGCGATGATGGCGACGATGGCGATGACGGTGGTGAGCCGCCCAGCTCGGCAATCGCCGGCACTGCCTCCGCTGCTGTGCTGGGACTCGCCGCGCTGCTCTTGGCCTGACGTAAGTCGGATGAGACAGAAAGAAGCATCCCCAGCCTTGGCGGGTGCAGCACAATGTGTAGCGTTTCAATATCTTTCAACCTTTGTGGGGCGAATTGCCCCCACGGCAATGTTTCAGCAAAGTCTGATTGGTGCCGGTCTTGCCCAGTGGAGCTTGCAAAGCGCACACAGCTGGCAGCAAAACTATAGTTCAGGTGTACAACAACCAACAGAACATGCAAGAGCTAAGTGGAATAGCACAAGCGCCGCTGGCCTGGCACAGCGGGGTGCAGACAAGGCACCCCACAAGCTACACTACACCACGATCAGGGCATGTGTCCCGCGACCTGGACTGTACCAAGCAGCAAGCTCTCGAGCATGGACCATCTACAAACGGGAGCCAAGCTATTGTCTTGCAGAAGTCATGAGCTTGAGAAGCTTTCAAATTGCCGGGTGGTTCTCACTTTGCCCAGGTTCGATCTGATCAGGAAGATTCGTGATGCGGCAAGCCTGTATCACTGTGTGCCGGCCCTGAGGCGTGGCACGCGGGCACATCAGCACAGGGTCACTTTGAAGATTTGAGTCATTTTGAATCCCTCCCCTAGATCAGCCTAGACACAGGCCCTGGTAACACCCATAAATTACATGGAACCGCGCAGGTGTGCTTGTGCGGGGAGGCGATTTCAAGAAATCAGCGTCTACTGTGTGTTTAGGGTTGTTGATGTGCCTGTTGTGGTTGGATGTGCCTTTCCGAGCATCATCTTCAGGAGATGTGCCATTGATAAAACGGTACACAGGCACCCCCATGCTAGGAAAGGTACAAAGTAGACTGCTGGGCTGTTCAAGTCAGGGCTTCGGCTCGTGCTTGAGTCTGCGCGACTTTCAAGCTTCGCTTGCTTCCGTATGCTTCCCTGAATAGCGTGAACACACATGTGCAATCATGTGCATCCTGAGCCTCATTCACGTCAGTTAATACCAGATTAAGACAGCGACTTCGTCTGTCGCCATGTTACTAAAACTGAGTGCGAAGCAATGTGCAGCAAGCATCATTATGCTGCTCTCTGCCGATTTGACGGCAGGTGGAAGCTGCAGACGTAAAAACGAGGGCTTCACATGTTGGCATCGTGCGTGCTGATTCCGGGTATCGAGTTAATCTCCCCCTTCTCCTCCTCTTACAACTCTACGAGACATACCATTCAGAAAAGAAAGAGAGAGAGAGAGAGAGAGAGAGAGAGAGACCCCCTTGGGGGTTATGTGCTGTGGAAGGAAGGAAGAGAGAGAGAGAGAGACCGACCAAGAAACAAAGAACGAGACCCAGAGCGAGAGCAAGAGCGACGGGGGGAGAAGAGAAGAGGGAAGAGCAAGGTAGGAAGAAAGTGTAATCTCCTCCTCTGTCTTATCCTTTTCTCTCTTTAGCAAGAAAGATAACTGATATGGACTTGAGAAGAGGAAGGCCAAGGGACCCTCTCTCTCCCACGGTCTATGCTTCTCTCAATGTCTCGCCCTGTCTCAGGCCCTCTCTCCTACTTCAGATCTATTTCTTCGTAGTTCTAGTTCTTCCTTTTCGCTCCTCTCCGAGAGTGCAAGGGGCAGGGAAAACCCTTGCGCTCAAGCCCGCTGAAAGGAAAAAGAGCGCGAGAGGGGGCTGGGGAAGAGAGAAGCGTAAGAAAAAGGTGTAAACTCCCCTTCTCTCCTATGCTTCTGGTCTAAACAGAGAAACAGGAAAGGGGAGCCAAGAGGCCCATTTTCCCAGCTCACTAAAACACTTGGAACACTGGATGATCAAGTTGAGGGTTTCCAAGGAAGCCAAACTAGCGAAAATCACGATGTTTTGGCCTTCAGGGGATTTCTTGCAGGCACAGATGGTTAAACATCCACAAAACGGCCATTTGAGAGTTCCCCCGATGCCTTTCGCACCGACGTTGTGGACAACCAGCGTGCGTTGACCAGCCCCAACCAATGTTGACCATCCCCCCAAAGCCTTTGAAAATGCTCAAAATCACGTGAATGATTAATTTGAGTGTTTCCAAGGGCGCCAAACTAGCGAAAATCCCTATGTTTTGGCCTTTAAGGGAAAAATGCGCCATTTCAGAGTTTGATAAATCACTAAACGACTGAAAATCCCGATGTGGTGGCCTTAAGCGAAACTATTAAAGGCCAAGAATTGTCGAAATTCGTGAAAAAATGATTAATTTGAGGGTTTCCAAGGGCGCCAAACTAGCGGAAATCCCTATGTTTTGGCCTTTAGGGAATTCCTTGAAGGCCGAATGGTTAAAAATCGGAACAGTGCGCCATTTGAGAGTTTGAAAAAAATCACATTACCACTGAAAATCCATATGTTGTGACCATAAGGGAATTGTTGAATGCCAAAAATGGTCAAAATTCACGAATGTGATCAATTTGAAGGTTTCCAACGGCGCCAGACTAGCGAAAATCCAAGTGTTTTGACTTTAAGGAAAAGTCTTGAGGGTCGCACCCACGTTGTGGACAACAAGCGTGTGTCGACCAGCCCCAATGTTGACCAGCCCCCAAAGCCTTTCGCACCAAAGTTGTGGACAACAAGCGTGTGTTGACCAACCCCAATGTTGACCATGCTCAAAATCACGAGAATTATTAACTTGAGTGTTTCCAAGGACGCCAAACTAGCGAAAATCCTACGTTTTGGGCTTGAAGGGAATTCCGTGAAGGCCCACACTATTGAAGGCCAAAAATGGTCAAAATTCGTGCAAATTTCCGGGCGCAAAACTAGCGAAAATCCTTATGTTTTGGCCTTAAGGGAATCCCTATGTTTTGGCTGTAAGGGAAAATATTAAAGGCCAAAAATGGTCGAAATTTGTGAAAATTATTATTTTGCGGGTTCCCCTTAAGGGAATTCCTTAAAGGCCAAAATGGTTAAGAATCGGAAAATTCGCCATTTGAGAACGTGAAAAAACCACAATACCACTAAAATTCTATGTTTTGGCTACAAGGGAAAGCATTAAAGGCAGAAAATGATCAACATTCGTGAAAATGATGAATTTGAGGGTTACCAAGGATGCCAAACTAGCGAAAAACCCTATGTTTGGCCTTAAGGGAATTCCTTGAAGGCCAAACCTTAAAGAGCCCAGCTCCAGCTCGCACAGAAGCCTAGACGCGCCCGCTGTGAGCCTCCCAAGATGCGCGAATTGCGTGAAGTGGTGGGATGCTGTTTGGTGTTGAGCTACGCTTCTCAGAAGAGCGAAAGCCAAAGGCACTTGCGCCGCACTGGGCCGCACTGATTAAATTTCCACTCAGTAACAGTTTCCTGTCAGGCGGCAGGCTTGTCCTTCGCGAGACCTGGCTTCCGCATGATTCCCTACAGTTTTGCTACAGTCCTTCATCGGCCCGAATCGGGATTTCGAGAGCTGCTCTCTCTGTAGACATGTTGTGCAGAACGCTCTGGCAACCGACAAGTCAGTTGATTCATTGATGCAAAGCTGCTCATGGTGTCATGCTTTTGGGTGGTTTCGGATGTGTTTCAAGGTTTTCATTCAGGGCCGCATTACGTGTTGTGCAATCTTTCTTCACCGGGCAGCAAGGCGCATGGCTCAGAGCCCGTTGTTTGTCCAGAAAACGCGGTCCTTGCCAACAAACTTGACACACCATTCGAAGACTTGCAAAAGAACCCACCTTTGAAAAACTTGCACCCCAGATTACCCATAGACGCTACCCCACAGTTCGATATCAATTGATCCTGCAAGCCATGGCAGCTGGCCAGGCTTGCTGCTACGTTGTCTGCCCTGCCATAGTGAAGCTGGACAGTTTCACAGGAACAGAGGAGTTCGACTTAAAGGTTTCTGGGTTTCAATTGTGGTTCCATTTCATTCTTGTAAGATGCGGCACTGTTGCTCTTCAGGACCTGTTAGCATATGCACCCCACCCAGATCCCCCAGTATTTGCAAAAAGCTTAGCGGACAGATCCGACATCGAACGCCGAAAGCCAGCCCAAAGAAAGAAGGATGCGCACCCCCCTCTTGTGATTTCCTAAAACTTTAGGTCTTGCGCACTTGGCCCTGAAATCCTAACAGTCCTAACTCCCTAAGAAACTTGTATCCGCTCTCCAGGTGATGCATGCGAACTACATGTTCAAAGGGCCTTCAATTTTCAAGGGCACGCATTGAATATCTGAATCGTATTTTCTCACATTCCAAGTTTACAGTTTAAGGGGCAATGTTTAAGCTTGTCATCGGGGTTTCAAAGTTACGACTCAAGAGCTTTTGCGCAAAGCTCGAGCTGAAAGCTGGCCCCTTAATCTGTAACCTTACAAAACATGAACTAAGAAGCCAAAGGACGGCGATGGTTGCAACCACAGGCTTATTGAAACCTTGGAGGAAGGCGCCAACCGGAGTTCACATGGGGATTGAGACACTGTGAGACTTTGCCTGACTGAGGATTGCAAGCCGTAGCCTGGGCCGCGAAGAGCCCGAAGGGACCCCAGACATAAGCCCCTATACCGTTGAGGGCTCATGGTTTAGGGTTTGGGGTGTATAGCTAGTATAGGCCTTAGGCCTGCAAAGCTGGCGCAACACAGGCATTGAGTGATTCATGCTTTGAGGTTTCGGGGTCTGAATGTCGGAAAGGCTTCGGTATTGAAGCTTGATGCAGACTCAGCATAAAAAGAAACACCCCAGTTCTGGCTTCTTTTGTTCGGAATGCCCACAATGTCCATACCAAAACATCGATCCCCGATCATGCAATCTTTCAGCCCACAACCATGGTTCTGGACACTTTCCTCCCAAGTCGAAAAAACGGAAACACTACCGAGACCTCAGTCATTCAGCCACTGTACGCCCGAACCTGCTGAAAGCCATTTGTTCGGCCAGGTTTTACTTCGGAGGCTGGGTGCATGTTTAGCTTTTACGAGGTTTTAGCGGTACTGCTTGGTTGTCTATGGTGAACCCCTTTTTCTCCGTGTGGGGCATGAGAGATCTAGGGATGTGGGAATGTGGAGGAACCGGAAGTAGGGGTCACTGGGGCCCTGCTCCTGATGCATGGTCAGCTCC